GTGAAACACTTGGAGATACTCTAATAATTCCTTGTCTCTGTCACAGGACACGGTGGTGGCTCTGCAGGCGTTGTCCACATTCGCCCCCCTGGGAATATCTCATCACCATGACATAAACATCAGAGTGGCTAACAGAGACTCAGACAGCGTTGCCTCCTTCCACATCAACAAGGACAACTTCCTGCTCCTTCAGAGTCAGCAGGTAACCAGGGAGCCTTTAACCAAGAAAGGATGACTGTCAATATCAATCAGGAAGCATCTGCTTTTTTGTCCCTAGTTTGGGACCAATAGGATAGGCTAAGAGGACCAAGGCAGTAGCTCAGGGATTTTATAGATCCAGGGATAGACCAGACCATGAAGAGCTGCTTAATCTTAACGAGCTTTTAGACTTTAACGACCTGTCAAATCTTAAGGAGCTGTCAGATCTTAACGAGCTGTCAGATTTTGACGAGCTGACAAACCTTAACAAGCTGTCAAACTTTAACAAACTGTCAGACTTTATTAAGCTTTCAGATCTTAACGAGCTGTCAGATCTTTACTAGCAATCAGACCTTAACTAGTTTTCAAACTTAAACGAGCTGTCAGATTTTAACTAGCTGTCAGACCTTAATGAGCTGTCAGTTTAGTCCCAGCCTACACCCAGTATTTAGTCCCCATTTAGTCCCACCCTCCAGTTGGTCCCAGTTTAGACCCAGCCTACACCCAGTATTTAGTCCCCATTTAGTCCCACCCTCCAGTTGGTCCCAGTTTAGACCCAGCCTACACCCAGTATTTAGTCCCCATTTAGTCCCACCCTCCAGTTGGTCCCAGTTTAGACCCAGCCTACCCCCAGTATTTAGTCCCCATTTAGTCCCACCCTCCAGTTGGTCCCAATTTAGACCCAGCCTACCCCCAGTATTTAGTCCCCATTTAGTCCCACCCTCCATTTGGTCCCAGTTTAGACCCAGCCTACACCCAGTATTTAGTCCCCATTTAGTCCCACCCTCCAGTTGGTCCCAATTTAGACCCAGCCTACCCCCAGTATTTAGTCCCCATTTAGTCCCACCCTCCAGTTGGTCCCAGTTTAGACCCAGCCTACCCCCAGTATTTAGTCCCCATTTAGTCCCACCCTCCAGTTGGTCCCAATTTAGACCCAGCCTACCCCCAGTATTTAGTCCCCATTTAGTCCCACCCTCCAGTTGGTCCCAGTTTAGACCCAGCCTACACCCAGTATTTAGTCCCCATTTAGTCCCACCCTCCAGTTGGTCCCATTTTAGACCCAGCCTACCCCCAGTATTTAGTCCCCATTTAGTCCCACCCTCCAGTTGGTCCCAGTTTAGACCCAGCCTACCCCCAGTATTTAGTCCCCATTTAGTCCCACCCTCCAGTTGGTCCCAATTTAGACCCAGCCTACCCCCAGTATTTAGTCCCCATTTAGTCCCACCCTCCAGTTGGTCCCAGTTTAGACCCAGCCTACACCCAGTATTTAGTCCCCATTTAGTCCCGACCTCCAGTTGGTCCCAGTTTAGACCCAGCCTACACCCAGTATTTAGTCCCCATTTAGTCCCACCCTCCAGTTGGTCCCAATTTAGACCCAGCCTACCCCCAGTATTTAGTCCCCATTTAGTCCCACCCTCCAGTTGGTCCCAGTCTAGATCCAGCCTACACCCAGTATTTAGTCCCCATTTAGTCCCGACCTCCAGTTGGTCCCAGTTTAGACCCAGCCTACACCCAGTATTTAGTCCCCATTTAGTCCCGACCTCCAGTTGGTCCCAGTTTAGACCCAGCCTACACCCAGTATTTAGTCCCCATTTAGTCCCACCCTCCAGTTGGTCCCAGTTTAGACCCAGCCTACACCCAGTATTTAGTCCCCATTTAGTCCCGACCTCCAGTTGGTCCCAGTCTAGACCCAGCCTACACCCAGTATTTAGTCCCCATTTAGTCCCACCCTCCAGTTGGTCCCAGTCTAGACCCAGCCTACACCCAGTATTTAGTCCCCATTTAGTCCCACCCTCCAGTTGGTCCCAGTTTAGACCCAGCCTACACCCAGCATTTAGTCCCCATTTAGTCCCACCCTCCAGTTGGTCCCAGTTTAGACCCAGCCTACACCCAGCATTTAGTCCCCATTTAGTCCCACCCTCCAGTTGGTCCCAGTCTAGACCCAGCCTACACCCAGTATTTAGTCCCCATTTAGTCCCACCCTCCAGTTGGTCCCAGTCTAGACCCAGCCTACACCCAGTATTTAGTCCCCATTTAGTCCCACCCTCCAGTTGGTCCCAGTCTAGACCCAGCCTACACCCAGTATTTAGTCCCCATTTAGTCCCACCCTCCAGTTGGTCCCAGTTTAGACCCAGTATTCACCCAGGCTGGTCCCAGTTTAGTGCAAGCCTCAACCTTTGTTAAGTCCCAGCCTACACCCAGTCTGGAGTTTAGGTTTAGGTCCAAGTGTCAGGTTTAATTCAATTCAGTTGGTTTCTATAGCTCCAATTCACAAGACTTGTCATCTCTTTACAGAGACAGTTGAACCAGATCATCCAGTCAGATAGATTCAGTGTGGTTTTCCAAGTCGTTCCAAGTCAGCTGTCCTATAGCAGCGTAACCATAGAGATAGCTCAGGATAACCTAAGGCCACTCTAACTATAAGCTTTATCAAAAAGCTAACGTTTTAAGCCTAGCCTTAAAAGCAGTTAGACTGGTTTCAGGCACAGATCAAACTGTCCAATCACAGGACGGATCCTTCCTGATGATAAAGCAGGAATAGAGGATGATGATGGTGAGGAGTTTTTCTTTATCTGGATCTAAATTCCACAAACACATCTTCTTCAGGTGTTTTTCATCCGTCTGTTGATCCTGATTGACTGAGGAATCTGTGGTTTGCTCGGATTCAATCTCATTTTAATCCTCTCGTTCCCTCTGGTCTGATCATCGTTTTTCATTGACTTTCCAGGTTGTTCCAGAAGCTGAGCTGGATCTAAAGGTGGTGGCAAAAGGTCAAGGACTGGCTCTGTTCCAGGTACCCGTGTCTCAGCCCCCCCTGCTGTTTGGTGCTGGTATGCCGCCCTCTCATTCATTCCGTCTCTTGCGCAGCTGAACGTGTTTTACAACATCAGGACGGAGGAGCTGATGAGGAAGAGACGGGACACGCATGAAGATGAGGCCTTCCATCTATATGTGGATCTGTTTGACTCGGAGGAGAACCACGCCAGTCTGCACGTATGCAGCAGGTGAGAAGGTCACATGATCCAAACCAGGGGCGGAGCTAGATTGGCCACGGCCTTCCTTAACCAATCATTTTTTACCCTTCTAATGCAGACTGTGAATACTCAAACTTATTCAAACATTTAAATTTTTCATATATTAACAATTACTTGACAACAAAAACATTGTGTTTAATTATTCACATCAATATACTAACATTAAAGAGACAGAATTCATTCTCTTTCAGAACTAGATTTGTTCTTATTGGATAAAGAGAAAATTCTGTCTCTGCAAGTCATCTAAGAGCCTTCAATGAAATCAGAAATAAATAACTACTTTAATAATAAGTAATCCATTTAATAAATATTAATTTTATGCAGAACGATTATTAATAAAAGTATGTAAGTAATGACGATGATTAAGATGTTCGCTCCAGAACTCAAACCTGAAAGAATTTGGTCCAATATGCCTTTAATTTAGACATCAAGGATGTTTAAATATCTGTGTCTCTGTGATATCAAAGGCTGTAGGAAAGTATAGTTAATTTTTTTCAGTGTACTTTGCTTATCGCCTGGCCAGCCTTATTAACATTTTCTGGCTCTGCCTCTGGTCCAAACATCAGCACCTCAGCAGCAAAACAGTCTAAATGGAAAAAAATCCAAATCTAGATCAGTCATTTTTTCTTAAAATAAGTGCATTTTCCTTGGATTGAGGAGGTAAAAGAGACATTTTGCCAATTTACACTTAAAATAAGAAAAAACAATTGCATTGTCTTATTTCAAGTGCATATTATCTAATTATCTTATTTTAAGAGTAATAATCCTCATTCCATTGTCAAACTTTCTCATTAACCTACTCAAATTAAGGGTAAATACACTTAATTTAGGACATTTTTTCTCATTTCTAGATCGTTTTTCCAGTGTAAATGGGTTCAGTCGCTCAGAGGAGCTAAAAATATGAAAATGAGTTTAGTTATTTACTTTAAAAGATCTCCAGGTTCCTCGACTTTTTAAATGACGTTTATCACGAATGTTAACTGTCGCTAAATAAATCAATCAGGAAGAGTTTAAATAAAGAATAAAAATTTTTCATGTCCCAAAAATTTGTTTTTCATTACTGCAAAAAATATTTTAAGAATAAATAAAAATGGTCACCATATTTAGAAGGTTCTAAGATATTTTTGATGTATTTCCAATTGTATCTTTTTTTTTTATCATTATGATTTTAGTTTTGAATTTAGTAAATTGTTTTCCCTTCAATGTCCCTTTAGGGCACATATGTCAAAGTCAAGACCCGTAAATAGTTTCTCCGCGGCCCCCTGGATGATATTTAATTACGTTAGAAGCGGCCCACAGGCCACGGCCGCTTGTGCGCGCTGCTGTGACTTCACAGGCTGCCGTTGCATTGTGGGGAATGTAGTGTTTGTGCGCTCGTGTTGCACGCACCAACACTGCATTCCCAGGGAAAAAAAACATGATTGTGTTTTTATTTTATTTATTTTTTTGGTTGTGCTTTGCATGTTTGGATTGTTTTGGTTTTTGCTTTTCCCTCTTTAACAATCCAAGCTGGGCTGAAGTCGGTTGTCTGAGGAGGCGGAGTCCACTAACTGCGCTGCGCAGGTGTTAGAAGAGGCTGATTGAAGCCAAAATAAAAGGAGCCTGGATGGAGGGAGGGGCGGAGCTGATCCTGCAGGCTGCTGATCGAGGGGCAGGTGGGATCCGCACGATACCCTGACTGTGCCGCCTGTTCCCCTCCTGGTATTCTGGGCATGGCCTGTGGATCCCACCTGCCCCTCCTTCAGCAGCGTGTCGGTCTCTGTCACCTGCAGGATCAGCTCCACCCCTCCTTTCATCCAGGCTCCTTTTATTTTGGCCTCAATCAGCCTTTGATTCACTGCAAAAATGATCTGAAAGTAAGTAAAAATGTCTTAAATCAAATGTATTTACCCTTAATTTGAGCAGGTAAATAAGACATTTTTACACTTAAAATACGTCAATTAGATAATATGCACTTGAAATAAGACAATGCAATTGATTTTTCTTATTTCAAATGTAAATTGTCTTGTTTCATTGGCAAAGTGTCTCATTTACCTCCTCAAATCAGGATAAAATGCACTTATTTTAAGAAAAAATCCCTCATTTAGATTTACATTTTTTTGCAGTGTTCTTTGGTCCTTTTTGGTATTGCTCTGCTTTTTATTTAATTAATTCCCTTTTTTAAAGAACCTCTTGCTGAATTCTGGGTCCGCTGCCGTGATTCAGCACAAAATCTTTATATTTCTTTGTACAAGACGGGATTTTTCTTTAACCTTTCCATAACATGAGGACCCAAATGGGTCCTCAGCACTCGCCCCAAGATGGTTTTTACACCTGTAACATATTCTCTGGGGTTTTGCCTTTATTTTGATACCAAAACAATTAAAATAAACTCTGTAGTTCTTGAGATATAATCAATTCATTTTGGGCGTGTTATTTTCAAGCATATTTCTCGAAAACAGGCCTAGTGTCCAAGAGGTTAAAGGAAGTCTGTGTGCCATAGATTTTTATATTTCGTTTTATTTATTCATATTTTTCAGTTGAATAGAAAAATGCAGATAAGAGCCATGATTTTATTTTATTTCATTTTACTATTTGAAAGCAGTGATCGATCATAGAGCAGCACAGTGATGCATTTTCGGTTTAAAATACATGTATTTATCTTAATAAGTTTATTAATATAATAAAGTTTATTAATAATATCGATATTAATAGTTTGTTTTTTAAAAAACAATGTGTTAGGTCTTGGTTCAATAGGCTATGTTCATTTCAACATGTTTTAATAAACATTTAACCAGTCCGGCCCTCGGCTTGTAGCAAATTAGTTTTTTTGGCCTTCGGTGTTTGACTTTAATATCCCTGGCAGACGTAGAAAAAGAAGCATAGATACAAAAGGCAACCGGCTCCACAGGCGGCCCCGTCCAGGAAACACACAGCCAGGCAGACGAGCTCCGAGCCAGCTCCCATGTCAGAGGATGAAGAGAGCACATCCAGTTAGTCACAGTCAGAGAAACAGGACTACACTGAAAAACAGGCCGGCCTAAAGTTCGATCTATAGTTAAACTATAGTTACCAGAGAGCCCAGAGGAAGTCATATGTTTATTATCTGTTTTCTTCATATTCTTCCTATTCATGCTAAATTAAAAAAGGAACTGTTCTTTGTTTTTCTGTTATTCTATAAAATGAAATAATAAGAAAAGTTGTTTCTTGTGTTTTCATTGTTTGTTTGAATTTGAAAAGCGAATTAACAAATGATACTTGAATTAAATGAATCCACTCTTCATTTAAATTGTGACTACAGATTTGAGAGTAATCAAATATCACTTTTTTTTACGTTTTGCATTTTAAAATTAGAATAATTGATGAAAACCAAGAAAAAAAACCAAGAAAAACTACATAAAGTAAAGGAAAACTTTCTTTTTTTTTCTCTTTTTATGATAAAATCAGATTAAAATAACAATTTTAAAATGTAAAATGCTGAATCATTTGAATCTGTTTATTTCTGCCATACTGGTTTCTGTGTTCCTGCTTCGCGTTCCTGCTGGGATTTCTCCCCATGTTCCCGGTTTCAGGATGTAATGATCTGGATCTGTTCTCCCTGCAGTCTGTCCCACCATCTGGACCTGAATGAGACAGGGATGGTTCTGATGGAGGTGGGTCTGCTCAGCGGCTTCAGCCTGCGTCCCGACCTCATCGAACTGGACGGCGCCTTAAAAAAAGTGGAGACGCAGCCGGGGAAGGTGGTCCTGTACCTGGACTCTGTGAGCTGGAACCCAAACAGTCTCTTTCAGGGGTTGCTGGTTCAGTCTGGGCTCCTGAGCCAACAGCAGGTTTCTGGTTCTGTCTGCAGGTCACGACTCACGAGACGTGCGTGTCGATTCCTCTGATCCTGGAGTTTATGGTGGCTAAAGTCCAGGAGGCCACCGTCACCATCTATGACTACTATGAACCCAGTAAGATTCTGCTGGTCATTCATGGAGGCTCAGACAATTCTATTCAGTTTATTTCTATAGCTCCAATTCACATCATGTCATCTCAGGTCACTTTCCAGCTCACCAGATCATCCAGTCAGATTGATTCAAAGTTTTCTATCTAAGGAAAGGTATTGATGGAAGCAGCTCAGCTGATATTTCTCTCCAGGATGATGAAAAAGGGGTCCCTATGTCCTCCAGCAGTCTAAGCCTATAGCAGCCGAACTATAGAGATAGATCAGGATAACCTGAGCCACTCTAACTAGAAGCTTTATGAAAAAGTAGGGATGCTGGTGTCCTTACCCGATCCGTACCGGTAGCACGATCCGTACCATCAGCTCATTTGCGCCTGCGCGAACAGAATAAGTTCCGGTGGCAATATTTCCTTTTTCCTACTTTTTTATTCTTTTGTATTTTTTAGAGGCATGGGTTTCTTTTTGTATATCTTTGTTTTTTCGTCAATATTGCATTTTCTAAAAATAAAAAAACAGAAATATATAAAAAAGTTCAATCGCCTTGTGATAGTTACTTTGACTGCTCTGAGCATGCGCAAATATACGTCACACAGCGTATATATTTAAATTTGTTTAAATATTTGATTTACTCTGTACCTAACTATGCACTCCAGCAGTACTGATCCCACAATGGATTCATTTGCTACCTTTCCTGACCTGCAGTTTTTCATTGATAAGGGAACATTTCCCGAAAATGTGGATTTTTATTCCAGAAAAATGACGTCAAGCAATACAATGGATTGAATTTAAAAAGCATCCATTTCTTCCAGAAAAGTCTTCAATATTGTCTTTACGATGTAGTTTAGTATTCTTTAATTATTTAAGGATATAAATAGAGTTTTTTCAGTACCGTAATTACATTATTTTTTGGCGACCCGGAAGTTATTCTGTTCGCGCAGGCGCAAATGAGCTGATGGTACGGATCGGGTAGCGACAATGCCCCCTATCGGTATCGGCCTTAAAACTGAATATCGGATATCGGCCACCCCACTGATATTTAACCCGATATTTGATCAGCTTCTGAGTTTCTAAAGTCTAAAAAAAATAAAAAAAATACTACTTCTTCTTCTTCCTCAAAAACGTCTTTTTTACAGACTTAAAAACTTCTAAAGACGAGGGAAAAAATATTGATCCATTAAAATATCCCAATATCTTCATATGCTGATATATTGCCATTTAAAAACACCATATCAATCTCTTTTACTAATGAAATATTGCTATATGTCATCGTTATGCTACGAAATCCCCCGAAAATTCACCAAATGTTGCCATATTTTTATATGTTGATATATTGACGCGGTATCGATCTATTTTACTAACAAAATCTCACAAGAATTTGCAAAATATCATGAGAGTTTGTAACAGAACGATGAAATTTCACGAGATTTTGAAAGTAAAATAGATCGATACCGCGTTTTTAAAAATCTATTTATGAAAATATATTTGAGTATATTATTTTTCAAAGTGTCAGAAATGGATAACAAAACTGCTATTTTCAATGACTACTTATTTTTGTCCAGCTTTAACATCGGTATCGATATCGGTTATCGGCTACATGAGTTTTAAAATATCGGCCAAAATCCCAATATCGTGCATCCCTATCAAAAAGGAAAGTTTTAAGCCTAGCCTTAAAAGTAGACAGGATGTCTGCCTCACGGACTAAAACTGGTGCTTCTGGTTCTGCTGTTTTAACTCAGACGTTCTTAACTTCTTAGTGGCTGGTCCCAGTGTGCTTCTGTTCCTCCACCTGAGAACTGGGTGGTAGTGGCAGCATCATGCTGAGGGGTGGATGGAATAAGGTTCTGATCTGGAGGGTTTCCTGATCAGCCAGGTTACCCTGTTCTTTATCAATTCAGTTTATTTCTATAGCTCCAATTCACATCATGTCATCCCAGATCAACCAGATCATCCAGTCAGATTGATTCAAAGTTTTCTATCTAAGGAAAACCAGCTGATTGCATCGACTCATTGACTCTTCAGCAATCCCTCACACTAAGCATGCTTGTAACGACAGTGGAGAGGAAAAACTCCCTTTGAACAGGAAGGAACCTCCAGCAGAACCAGGCTCAGTGTGAGCGGCCTTGAGATGACTATGCACTATAGAAATAAACTAAATTGAATTGAAATATCAGGATGTCTAAGTATTTTAGAAAAACACCCGTGCTTTAGTAGCCTCTTCTTTTTTGCAATGATATAGATTAAAAGTCAATTGTCACAAATACTGAACATTTAGGAGCTTCAGGAGAATTAATTCAACATTTGAAATGAAAAATAACTCAGTCTGAAAACAAATGAATCTATTTATAGAGGAGCATAGTCAGAAGTTGGCAAATAGTACTGATGTTGCGCTCTCTGCCGCCCCCTACAGGACGGAGGGCAATGAAGTCGTACAAATCGTCTTGGAGGAGCACGGCGTCCACCTGCTCCTTCTGTGGAGAAGACTGCAGCCAGTGCCGAGCAAACAACGACTTCGATCTGAACGCTGCGCCGCGCCGCCACTTCCTGCTGAGCTGCTTCCTGCCTCCTCTGCTGCTCCTCTTCATCATCTTCAGCGTTTAAACATGGCCAGAACGTTAGTTTGCAATTACCTCCTGCAGTTGGGAGGAATAAAATGTTAGAGTTAGAGGAAACTACTGATGGGAAAAATAAATGTGAGATTTTGAGTTTTTGGTTCTGCCTGAATTTCTTCTTCTGGCGTCTCTTCATTTTTGAAATTAATCCAAAATAAATGATGCACCGCAAACCTGGATTAAACTTCAAAGAAACATCAGGTTCATGTTCAGTCAGAGCAACTTTTATCCAT